CATCGGCTTTCGGGCAAGCTTGGTGCCAATGCAACAACAAGAGCCACAGAATATAGGGGTTACGAAAACGCAAGTGCTTTGCCCACTAAACGATTGAATCACCGATTAAACTATTTCCTTGTTTACATACGGTTTGCATACGCTAATCGTCGTTTTACGCTTATTGTAGGTAGCTAATCTCCCATATTACCTCATCACTGGCTTCCTCGGGTTATGTTTCTGTGGAGACCATTATGAAACTGACGTTAATGGTATGATTAGAGAATCCAGAAGTTTTCGAAATTATGAAACATTCAGTAACCTCGATGAGATTGGAACCCACGCATGGAGGCCGCTTTTATACAGCGCAGCTCTTTCATCTGAGCTACGAGGTTTCACACCGAAGCACTGATCTTTTCACATTCGAATCACCCAGGCTACTCAACTTTTCACAATTTCAACATAAGGCTTCAATCTGCCGAATAACTATTTGAACAAAAATTGTCCTTTGAAAAATATTGTAACCGCATTAAAAATCTGAGAAGTACAGTTGTTTCTTCCGCGTACGTCTTCATTAGGAAAGCCATTTCATTATTTGTGTCCATAGATAATTAGAAACCTCAAAGTAATGTTCTAATGACTGTGATATCCCAGATGTCACTTCACAGAAAAGCAAACTTCAGTGTGCTATCGGTGAACGATATTCGTAATCATGTTGAGAACAATGTTTTTATCATCTAGATACCCCTGAGAATATGTAATTTATACAGGACCTGATGGTAAAACAAAAAATGTATGTGAAATAAGTCTTCAGTCTGAGAATAGTCAGCAGGAGAAAGCTTGTTCACTTGAAACGTCACGAATTTTAAGCTTTTTTAATACACTCCTATTTTGTGGTAAACAGCAAGTGTAGTCAAGAAGATCTATTATTTAATCATGGAAACCGGAAACCTATGCCGTAGGGTTTGAAGCAGCAAACTACATAGGGCTCCAATTTTGTAGGCTTCATATTGAGCCGGGCATCAGCGAAGCACCTACCACCAACATCACATTACCTATCATTAAATGTTATTGTGAACTTTTATGGTGATTATCATTGTACTACAGACAAATATAGAACTGATATAGTTGAATAAAAGCAATAAGCAATAAAGCAATAAAAGCAATTCTTTCTTAGACGGGGAATCGTTTTTCGCTTGAAACTGTTGTTGGAACTGTGTATAAAACATAGATAGCACTCATTCGCATCACACGCTTGCTCCTAAAAAACAATCAGATATATGTTTATATAATTGCAGTCATCGCAGCTGTTCGGTGCTCTCGATTCATAATGTTTTCGCATAAATCAACTTAGTTTGGAAGACGAGATTTCAAATAATACATTGTATTGCTTTTTATTATTCCAGCACATTGTAAATCATAATAACGAGTTTAGGTTAATCGGTCGCTATAGATATGATCCACTTCACACGTTCATAGTGTTCATCCCTTTGGAATGTCGTGTTTATTTTTACTCAAATAGTGATGGATTTTCTACATTTTTTTCATTAGCCGATCATGAAGACGGGATAGATTGCGGAGTATTGCTCCCAGATATGGGAATGCTAAGTTACTTTCATTTAGACTTTGGTTAATCCGAATGGCACACTGTCAAACTCGTTCATCGCACAAAATGTAATCCAGTGGATGCTGCAGTGTTTAATATTAGTGATCTCCTTTCGCTTGAGTAGATAAAATATCCGGGATACACCCTAAATTTGTTTTTTGTCTATTTATCACGTTCAACACTTTAGATATGAAGGCCGTCCGAGTTTTGTACTTGCATTACTCCCATTATTTAGTAATGTTTTCTTTGTGGCCCGTTTCAGTAGAATGCACTTTTTGATAACTCATATGTAGCAGATGGCGGGCACAATGTTAGGTTTGGACATATGTCATTAAAGAAATATGAATTTATTGTTTCACCGGAATTTCGCCATTTACTTTATATGATGCAGCATTGACGTGCAGGACTAGGATTAGGTCATTTTGTGCTCGAAACCGAAAGGAAAATTCACCAATTTTGATCCCAGATGACTTCGCCACATTTCAACTAGAGTCAAGTTCATGAAAATACAACATCTTCTTAACACTGACCAGTGATTTCCCAAATAGTTCACCCTGAATGGGAATCCGATGTGGTGAACCAGGATTAATGTTAGCACCAGAGCGGTTGGGATCAATCAACTGCGGTTACCCTGACAATTTTTAACAGACCAAGGCACCATGATTAGAGTCGATCATCCAGACTGACTCCTCTCGACCAACGTAGAGTTACGTCGTCAACAAGTTTCATGCCAGTGGTGAGCTCGGTGTTTCGTGTTCCATTCACTTAAAAAAACCGACTGTGCTGATCTTAGTCTATTTCCTTGGAGCTGATCCCAGTTCGAGCCGCGATCTTAATGAATTTTTAATGAATTCTGGCAGACAAGATGATTTATACATGCAACAATCTGGTCTCATAAAATATTACCAATTCTATAATATTAGCAGAGGGGTATAGTTATACTTATGAAAAGTAAAATTCAGCACCATTTCACTATAACTGATTTCCGTAGGTTATCATTACTTGAATCAGACAAATCACTAACTCTGTGCTTGGCGAGTTTTCCCAAAATCGATAAAGTTTATATATCACGGCGCGTTTGTTCTACTTTCTCACGAATTCTTGAATTGGTGATGACTTGGGAAGGGAATGAATATCTCGATCGGCTCGATCTGTTCCAAATGCACTTTTCATCATTTGTCATAGTAGAATGACTGAGATTTTTCACCAGTGATCTTTCTTGGTCCGACATTGTACAGTTTCGACAAATCATCACACTAAGGTTTCCTTACTGAATACATTCATAATCAAATTCGTTTTTAGCTTATTCAGAACGAATGTAGTTTCGTTCGGCTTAGGTTTTCACTTTGTCATACGTATTTTACGCACATCTTCTGTCGAGATTTTGGTTTATGTGGACTTTAACGGTGAATAATTTAAATGGTCATGAGCTAGGTATTGGACTATGGGGTCAACCGATATTTCGAAAAGCTTGAAACAATATTATTTCATACCAAAAGATCTGCAACATTTTCACCGTCTTGAGAGAAGTAACTTTGAGAAAACGAGTCGGTGAGCGAACAATTGTTTTCGGATATTCCTAGTCAAGCTCTTACATATCATATAGTGGAAAAAATTATTACATAATCATAGTCATTGGCTCATTTTAAAGTCAATATTCAGAGGTAGAGAGTAATGGGAGCGTGTATGTGTTTGCGTGTGTGAAGTAACTTTCATTGAGGCTAAAAAGGACTTTTACAACTGCAAAGTTATCAGTGTTTCTGATTTGTTCTATATCATTAGACTTTGGATATAACCGCATGATTCAATTTTAAGGATAGAACAGCGAATGATGGCTGGACTTCTCTTCGAAGTTTTCATGACATAACCCGTGCACATCTACCTTAGTGAATTTTTTCAGTTGTTTAGGAAATCCCCTGGGTTATTACTAAGTCTAGTGAATCTTGGAGTAGATATGCGTTTTTCCAACTACATATGATTGCTCTGCAATCAGTATCATCTCTGTCAAAACTGGGTATATCTCATTTTTGTCTTTTCATTATGTTCTTTTCAAATAAAGAAAATTTCCCCAGAATAGCTGCAGTCGATTATTTCATTTTATCTGGCAATTATTCCGCTTACTAGAGATGCTATGGGTTTGTTGGCGAGTAATGCTGAGGTCACTTCTAACATGCAGTCCGATAACGTGTTTACAATTGGTTCTCATATCTCAGATTGGAAATTTGCTTACAAACGTTCCATCGCTGGCTGAAGTAACATTTTTAGAGCTTGATGTTAATTTGGCCAGTGGCGAAAAGTTTGCAAACAAATTATCTCATCCAGTTAGCTTTAATTGGTCACGGTAGGCGTGTTCACTCTCCCACTTTCTTCTCTTCCTTTTTTTACTCAACGGTTTTATGTGCTTCCCATTTTCTCACAAACAACGCTTGTGGAACGCGGTCGACAGATGTGAGTAGTTCCGAAGTCGGTCTGATGATCACTTATGCCACGGGTCTCATTGGTCTGTTCCAGTGGTGTGTACGTCAGAGTGCAGAAGTCGAGAATCAAGTAAGCGCCGTTTCCAAAGGACTTTAAACCTTAAGCCTTGGATCAAAATAATCGTGCAGTTTTGAGCTATGGTAATATTTATTTTTAGCGGTTTGTCAGTACTCTTTTGTCACTGAAACACTCCTACCACTTTCATCCGGATCAAGGGAAGGCGGCATTGCTGTGTACTTCACTCGAACTGTCCTTTCTACATGTATCCCCTTTATTTGGATTAAAATCAAATTAATCTATTCAAAAACCTATGAGAGATGTGCACAAGGTGCACGCAAAAAAATAGATCCATGATGATTAAGTAAATTTAGGCAGTTTTACTTTCAACTGAATTCGCATAACCACACCGCTGGAAATGTTGGGCTTGTAATTATTCACATTGGATGAGCTAGTCTTTCAGATCGCACACGACTAGTCGGTGAAACAAACGTGCAAAACAGCACGATCCAAAATGGTTCACTTACGAGGAAATATTGTCGCAATATGCAGTTGAATTGTGGGTTATTGTAATGGTCATAGTAGTAGTAGTAGTAGTAGTAGTAGTAATACGCACGGAACTCGGAACAAACCACGCAATAGGAATCACAGGATGCGAATCAAGGATCAGCCTATCACGGACTGGATGACGGAAGCACTGGACCGCAATGACACTAGCACGCAATGTCTCACGTAACTGAAACCCACGGAAAAGGCCACAATAATGGCAGTTCTTAGTTCGTTTAGTTGAAAAAAATGAAGGCGATTAAACAATATGTACAGAAGAAGATCATTGGTTATCTAGGCTTCCACCAATTGTATTGCAGTATTACTTGCATAATTCTGCTTCTGTCTGCACTGTCTCGGATTGGCTGGCAGAACCTGCCTATAGCGTGTAGTCACAAGCCGTACGCGAGTCACTGACGTCAACTTTCAAATTCGATTGATTGCAGGTGTCCAGAAACTGTACCGCGCCGCTCCAGGGTAGGCGTCGTCACGTAGGCTTGGATCAACACAGTTACCTCGTTGAGCATATCTATAGAGTCGAACTGTCTGATATTTCCGACTTTATCAGTTGGATTCCCTCAAATCGATTTTTAGCTGCCCGTAGGTCGAATTAGATCAGAGCAGAACCCAGCGCTATCCGAATACTAGCCCACCCCCCCCCACACACACACACACACGCACACACACACACACTTATGTAAACGAAGACGGTTAGTGTAGGCAATTCAACTTCCTTAACCTAATATGAGTGGAGCAATAGGTGAAGTGGACCCAGTTGTTGTCACATTACCTGTATCCTTGACCCCCCC